ATATATATATACATATATATAAAGCAGGAAGAGGGTTAGGAGTGTGTGTCTGATGCATGTGGAGATGTCAAAGGGAAGATGCTTTCAGGAAGTCTTCGAGCTCCACATCCACAAAGATGAGCTAGAGAGAGTGAACTTGTTCTTCAGAGGATCTATTGAATGATGATTGTGTATCACTGAAAACATCAACAATTATATATCTAATTACATGTACATTGTATCTGAAATCTACTTTAGTCAAAGGCATTTATTATGTGCATCATATGGAAAAAAAAACACTCACAATGTTAATGAGGTTTAATATATGTCTTTTGAATTTCCTTCTGAAATATAAAAAAGAAAAAAGTAAGAAAAGTAAGAACTCTGCTATAGAGCTGCTATGTTTTCTACAGAACTAAACCTAAATGGAAATTGTCTTATATCTTCCAGTCCAAAGCCTAACGAATATAAGTGCATGGTTTTGAAATTAAAGACATTAATAAAAGAGCTAGGTGATGTTTTTTTTTTTTAATATATATTTTTTTATTTGTACATTTATCAATTTCTAACATAAATAAAGTAATTTATATCCGTCAAGTTTGAAATAAGGGAACAAACAACTCAGAGGTAACTACATTGTAAGTAAGATTTTTATTAGACAACTAAATTTTTCAGAAACTTAAATTGTAAGATGAAACAATCACAAAAACTGGAAAATTATTGCAAAAATGATTGACTTGTGTGCAGGACACACTATCTTTGCTTGGAAGTCAGACGGAACAGCACCAACTTTTTTGCTCTCCATTCCTTCATTATACTTTAACGAACATTGTTTCCCTACAAAGGCTATTGGAGCAGAAACCAGCCGCAAACCTACAGTGCTCAGTTGCATATTATACCCAAATGTGTCTGACAGGTGGAGTAATGGTTGGATGAGGATGAAAGATGACAAGAGTGGGGAACCAACAAACCAGTACATCCTCCATGGGGAGATTTGGGGCTGTTACCTCCCTGTGGTTTCCACCACAGACTCCGATACATGGTTGTACAATGTAATGTTTGTTTGCTGAGATCTGACAAAGCAAGAAGGAAACCAGTTCAAATTACTGGTCTGGAATATGGACACATACTATTGCATCCTCCATGAATAATTGATACCTGCTGCTTTGCTTTGCTACCAGAACAAAATTTGAATTTGATTGAAAGGTTTAATCAGTCTTTAATTTAATCGATGTATACAGTATCCAAGATTAAAAATACACTGTTCTGTATCAGAAGCAATAGATTCCTTGTGGAGGCTAATAGTGTAAGTATTGGGCCCATGTCAGCAAAATTATGTGTAGAACTCTTAATTTGAACAATAAACCATTAAATCTTTAATTGCACTTTTGAGGGTGGACACTGAATATTTCTAACTTGGGTTTAGATGTGTTCGGTTTCCTTATTAAGACATTCTGGATTTAAAGACCCTACACACCCAGGACTTATTACTTCATAGAGTTTGTCAGGTAATTCACTAGCTATACCAAACTTGAATCTGAAGCTTTAATCGGCCAGGGTAACTGGAAACCCCTGTGTGGGTGTGTAGAGCCTAAAATAAACCAGTTTCATCACGCTTAGAAAATAATATCAGAATGAATGTAAACAGATAAATATGAAGCATTTCCTTCAGAAACAGGTGATTCATTTTTATCTATTAGATGCCTCCACTATTTTCTTTACTGCCTTGTTTTATAAACATTTGATCACGTTAGACGACGGAGGAGGTGGACGGTGCAGTACCACACTCTGACCAGCGGGGGGCGGTACTCTCCTAACGGACGAGCACAGGAAGCGCAAGGAACTCTGGGACTTTTAGTTCACAGCGGAGGACGGTTCGCTTGATAACACTGCGAAGAACAAAACAAGACATTTACCACCAGAAAATAAAACATCAGGGTCGCATTGAGCACAAGTACGAGCTCCGTGTGCGCCGAGTCCGGATACAGTCGGTGCTTTTCGGTCGCCGCACTGAAGAAGAGCGGCTCACTTTTGGTGAAAAATAAACAGGAAGTTGTTAGCGTTGTGGGACGTGTAGTTCCGCTTGCAGGCCACTGAGCTTTATAACAACGCATAGAATAAAGAAACAACAATAAAATAACCCGAACTTAACCCGAGCACCGTGCTTTGAGCCTCTGCGTGGGAGTAAACATGCCCGGGTTCACCTGCTGTGTCCCTGGTTGCTACAACAACTCGCACCGGGACCGGGACCTGCGCTTCTACACATTCCCCAAAGACAGCACGCTGAGGGAGATGTGGCTGAGGAACATCTCCCGGGCCGGGGTCAGCGGCTGCTTCAGCACCTTCCAGCCCACCACCGGACACAGAGTCTGCAGCGTGCACTTCGCCGGCGGGAGGAAGACCTACAGCATCCGAGTCCCGTCGCTGTTCCCGCTGCGGGGGGTGAACGAGCGCAGGAGTCGGCGGGGCAGAGGCAGGAAAGTGTCCGCGGCGGCTCCTGCCCCCGCCGCCGCAGCCACCTCCGGGATCGTG